CCTCAAATTAAGAAATACACTTTAAAACTAGTGAAAAATAAAAAAGACAGGAGATACGAAGTAAAAGGGGCGGGGCCGTAGCAGACATCCTTGGCGTTAGATCAAGTCAGCCACTGCAAAGAAGAAAAACACACATGTCACCGCGGCAACAGCCAATCAAAGGGGTTACACATCATGTGATACTGGCTGTGTGAGGCCGCCCATCATTCGTCAACCTCATACACCCCCGCCCCTCCCCATGGTCCTATGTTCCTCCATGTTCGGTTTCTTATGAACGTCAATGTACCGACACACATTTAGAACAAACACACAACAAGCTCATGTTACCGTGAAAAGTCACATTAATGCCTCAACTGTCAACCTTCATGTCTTACTGAGGCTGCGACAGTTTAATAGAAAGTTTAGACTTGATATTATGAACAAAAATTGATGTTGCCTTACCTGAAATATTACTTTCTAAGGCATACCGTTACGAACGTTGAGAATATACTAAACTTGTTTAGTGGTGAAATGATAAACTTTTGTTTTAGGAAGCAGCGTCACGCTGAAAAGAACAAAGTGTGTGGTGACATTCATCTTCTGTAGCGTGGACATATTCTGGAATATCTTAAATTAGTTAAATTAGCTCGTACAGCAAGAAAAAAATAAGTCTGTTCATACAAGTTAGTAAGTGCGTTCAGACAACGTGGTCCTTGAAGCACCCGGCCCACGTAGACCAAAAGGCCGGGTCCTCATGAGGACGCAGCCCCCCAATGAGACGCAGCTGGTGATTCTATTACCGTTCATGGGCATCTCGTCGATCTGGGTGGAGTAGTACTGCTCGATGTCACGCAGGATCCGGATGTCATCGTTTTTCACAAAGTTGATGGCCACGCCCTTACGCCCATAACGACCAGACCGACCAATCCTGGAGGGGGGTCAAGGCTCACGTGAGAAACGCATGCAGGGGATCCGTTTATTTGAATTGCAAAAGGGAGATATAAGACGCCGCGCACTAACTACTTCTGCGTACTTCCTGTTGTAGTGCGTACCTGTGGATGTAGAGCTCTCGGTTGTTGGGCAGGTCGTAGTTGATGATCAGAGAAACCTGAGGAACATCTAAACCTCGAGCCCAAACGTCCGTAGAGATCAAAACACGACTGAAACAGATCAATTGATCAATTAATATTAATCCACCGGAGGAGTATGTGATCATGTCAGACTGGGTGGTTACTCTGTGGAGAACATCGTGGTCGTAACCAAATGGTCTTGCCCAGTCTAACCCCAGTCTAGGCTCTGGGTCCCGGCCTAGTCTTGGGTCTAGCCCGGTCCCGTATTGGGGGTAACCCGGCCTGGTCTCAGTTACCTGGCTCCGGATCTGAACTCCTTCATGATGGACTCCCTCTCCTTTTGGGGCATGTCTCCGTGCATCGATGACACCGTGAAGTTGGCCTCCCTCATCTTCTCCGTCAGCCAGTCCACCTGAAACACCATCAGACCCTCAACAACCCAGAAGCCTCAGAGCAGGTGACCTGCTGGTTAGCGTAGCCTGGCTACGGTTGGGTGCAGCGTAGCTTTCGGTACCTGATTGTTAGCTAACAATAGCTCACCGCTTGTGCAGCTAGTTAGCAAACTACCTTCTATTTATTGATGTCTGTGTTTCCCTCCGTTATTAAAGTCTGCACATTGTTTCGCACCGCACAGCACAGACGCGTGCTCACCAGCGGATACAGAGCGCGTGTCGGCAACGACCCCCCCCGTCAGTTAATATATTGTTCAATTTGAAGAAAATAATTTTCTTTGTAATTTAAAAAATCATTGTCAATCATTGTGCTTTTTTCTTTGAATCACCGGTATCGAACCCCCCCCAAACGACCCCCATCCCCACGTCTAGCTCACCTTCCTCTTGGTGTTGCAGAAGATGACGGCCTGCGTGATGGTCAGGGTGTCGTACAGATCACACAGAGTGTCGAACTTCCACTCTTCTCTCTCCACGGCAACAAAGAACTGTTTGATCCCCTCCAGCGTGAGCTCATCACTAAGGGACACAAATGTATATATATATATTATTCACGTGTCATGACGTAAGCCTGGTGGCCATAGTGACCCTGGACTCACCGCTTAACCAGGATACGGATCGGGTCAGTCATGAACTTGTTGGTCATCTCCAGGATCTCGTGAGGCAGCGTGGCGCTGATCAGACACACCTGTGTGGCTGGAGGAAGGTAGCGGTACACGTCGTAGATCTGCTCCTTGAAGCCTGGACAGGGGTCAAAGGTTAAACATCATCAGGCATCACACATGGCTATAAAGTGTTACAAACATCACTCCGCCGTGATATTATAAAACATATATACATTATACAATATGCATAGTGTATAGAATGTATTCGTGTTTGGACCCTTCTGATTCACCTGAGACGAGACTAAAGATTTAGGATGACGCATTCTTTCTCCAGTATCCTAGGACTCACTCAGTAATGTACTTTGTATAGTGAGTTTTTATTACAAACTCCCCAGCTGTGATATTACAGTATTGTGACCTCGTCCTCGGGTTACCTTTGTTGAGCATCTCATCAGCTTCGTCCAGAACTAGCATCTTGATGGCTCTGGTCCTCAGACTCCTGCGACGAATCATATCTGTAGAACACAAACAGAGGCTGATGAGGACCAGGTGGAGCGGCTCACAGTGCATCAGGTGAACCAGGTGAAGCAGGTGAACCCACCAAACACTCGTCCAGGTGTTCCCGACACCACGTGCTGGCCGTAGTCCAGCTTCCTGATGTCCTCGCCTACGTTGGTCCCCCCGATGCAGGCGTGACACTGGACGTTCATGTAGTCTCCCAGAGCCAACAGCACCTGAACACACGGCAGAGACCATCAGAAACCAGCTCACGTGTTATTGTCTGAGGTTACGTCCACACGACTACGTTTCTGTTTTTAAGTGCATATGTTTTTCCTTTTTTAAGCTAAACGTCCACACTACGGCGGCGGTCGCGCACCGGAAACAGCTCAGACATGCTGGAGTTTGGTCTTGGTGTGGAAACCATTTGGTTGGCTCTTAGTCGTCGCAACGTGTCCTTCCCTCATTTGTCACACTCCAGTCACGTGACCGTGTGTATCATCATCTTCTGATTTACACAGTAACGCGCATGTCCAGTGTATGTTAATGGTCACGTGGTTTACTCTAGAGAACGTAGTAGTGTGGATGTAGCAGTGTGACCAGGTCGTCGGCGCTACCTTTTGGATCTGCCCAGCAAGCTCCCTCGTTGGAGCCAGAATCAGAGCCTGAGTCTCCCTCACCTGTAACAAGAAATATATATTAGACACACACACACACACACACACACACACACATATATTGTATAAGCAAGTCATTCTGAGGATCAATAGGATCCTAACCCTGACCTGGATGTCCAGACACTGCAGCACCGACACACAGAAGGTCGCCGTCTTCCCTGTTCCAGACTGAGACCTGAACAGATCAGAGACCAGTGATTAAATAGAACACATGTTGTTCCCCAAGATCCCCAAGACCCTCTTGGATTCAGGTGCTTAAAAGGTTAATACAGATCCCCCCCCCCCCAGTTTGGTTCTTACTGGGCGATGACGTCCCGGCCTTTGATGATCTGTTTGATGGCTCTCTGCTGGATCGCTGATGGCTTCTCAAAACCTGAAACACAAAAGATGAAACCTCTGGTAACATCTCGATTCAGCTATCTATTACGTGGTTCTGTCAGACAAAGGTTGCCATGGAGACGTCACAATTAGCCTCCGGCAGAAAGTCTTAAGTAAATAATCGAAGGACGTAAACTTAGCAGGAAGCTAAAGTGAATGCTAACTTATGCTAAGTTTGATAATAACCCCACTAAAACACTCACAAATAAATCCACCACTACATATGTAGAGCCTCGGTCAACCACGAAGATATAAAGAAGTAGAAAATACTTTTTTTTATAAATACTGTCATATGTAATAAATAAAATATAAACACTGAGACGAATGTTAGCTTTAGCATCCTGTGCTAACTCTCCCCTGGAGGCCGTGTGAATCCCCGGTCTACCGTAAGCGTAGATCCCGCGGAGCAAGTCCTCCCGAAGGCCCATCGTGTCGAAGGTGGGGGTGACGTCCACCTCCTCGCTGGTTTCGAACTCCACCTTCGTCATGTCTTCGTCCCTCAGGATCCTCTTCCTGCCCTGTAGTCCGGCAGTAGCCATCTTCTTCACAGGTTTAAGACTGAAACTTCACGAGAAAATCAAGAAATATCTCCGACGTTCTCCGCTGGGCTGCTCTGCTAACACGGGGAGGAAGAAAGAGCGCGGGGTTCGTCGCGCTGATGACGACGTGTGGAGGCGACACGGGCTTCTTCCTGTTTGAAGAACTGCTTGATAAAGAACAGCGCCACCTGGAGGCCAGGAGGGTAAACCCACACCACAGGTAGACAGCGGCCGAATCCCAGTGCCCCCCCCTAAACCCTGGACCCCCAGGGACTCACTGACGTCACCTGGTCAGTGGGAGAGTCTGCGAGGGCTTTGAAATATTAAGGGACAGCACTTTGCTGCATCACAATATGATGTATTTAATACTTTTGACTACGTATTTCAGGCGCTTTCTTCATGACGGGAAATTTCAATTTGTTTTACTGTTTGTCAAAATAGCTTAAATGACCAAATTAAATTTTTGATCAATAATTTGTAACCATTGACTCATTTCATGTGTTTTTCCTTCTTTAATCCGCTATCTTCTATATTTATTCATTTGAATATAGCCCTCTTTGTTAATCTTTTTTAAGTCTCCATGTTTCATAGAGTTCATAAAGGGCTCAAAAATGTCTCAGAGCAGAACGGTGTGACAGCGGGACAAAATCAAACCCTCCATAAGCACGTGGGGGTGGGGAGTCGGGGTGGAATTTGAATAACAATGTGAACTGGATCGATGAGTAGACCAGAACAAGTTCTGATTAGTTGAACTCAGGTTGTTAATGTATATATACAATTATGTATTTAAACTTGTTCACAAACCTTAATATTTCAAATGATTTATTTTGATCTTTTCTTCTCCAGTTGGCAGGAAATCACATTTTCCCTCATGTTGACATGTTATTGATCTTATCGATAGAAATGACCTGTCGCTTTACAACAATAACTGATGACATCACTACTGTATGAATAAATAAACACAAGGTCAGAGGTCAGACAGCAGAGGACCAACCTGCGTCACTTTAAGGACTAGACATCTTTAAAGTAAATCATGTGTTCACAGTCACGATGAGGTCCTTCAGGCCTGATTGGGTCATGACAATGTGCTACAGGTCATAACGAGGTCCTTCAACTCTGATCAGGTCATGATGAGGTCCTTCAGGTCATAATGAGGTCCTTCAGGCCTGATTGGGTCATGACGATGTCCTTCAGGACTGACCAGGTCATGACGATGTCCTTCAGGTCATAACGAGGTCCTTCAGGCCTGATTGGGTCATGACGATGTTCTTCAGGACTGACCAGGTCATGACGATGTCCTTCAGGTCATAACGAGGTCCTTCAACTCTGATCAGGTCATGATGAGGCCCTGCAGGTCTGAAGTGGTAAACATGCTCTGCTGCAGCAGGAAGCTTAAGTCATCGTGCTGTGAAGCTTCCGACTTAACTTTATGTCTGATGACATCTTCACTACATTCACTTTAACAAAGAGGACCCAAGTATTTGAGAGAAGAGTGTTTCAATGTTTGTTATATTCTCAAAATACTAGAGAACTTTATTGTGGGAATCTCTGATGTCGCTTCCTGTTTGAAGTGTCCGATGATCATGTAACCGTCAGACGTCCTTTGATTGGTGGACATCCAGACTAACAACCTGCAGCTCCGTCAGGGGACTGCTGCTTTGCTGACTGATCAGCATCTGGACACAGTACAAGAGTATTAATACTATTAATCCTGTCAGTACAAGTATGCAGACTCACATCTCAGTTATCATATTAACGTTAAAGTTTCACAGTGAGATCAAGAAGTCACAGAGCAGCATCAACACATGACAACATCACACAGTAGCCATATGTTGTATTAGTGCTGAGTGAGGTCCTACCGGGTGCAGCTGGACAGTGGAGACGGGGATCTGAGCAGTAACGGGAGGAAGGGAGGTGAAGAAGACCTGAGGAAGAGAACCTGAAAGGTGTATTAAGCATAAAGTCTTTAGTAACAGAAAATGCAATTAGACCTCTTCTAAAGAAATGATAGACATATCTGTAACGTTCCTCTCTAAGATCCTTCAGAAACACCCTGGATCCACAGTCAGGGGCACGTATATATATATATATATATATATATATACCACATTTATTACATAACGCAATACAGTTCTGTCTGTATATATAATATTTATATACTTGGGTCCTGGTTTTATCTGGACTGGACTGCTGCCTGACCCCCACTGCGATACACACATGAACAACAGTCCTACCTGGGTCATGTGACTGGGCGTGGCTTGTCGGGGGGAAAGCGTTGAGAACAGCGAGGCTGCCTTCGCTCAGTGACGACGTCGGTGTAGCGTACATAACCGTGTGACTGCCAGGGTACATCATGTGACCTGCCACCGATGAAGACGACGAAGAGGAGGACATCCCGGGGGCATGGAGACTGGCTGCTAAGAGACAGCACATGACCTCACAGCGAAGTTATCTACTAAAAAAAAAGTGTGTAGAAACCTACCAGCAGCGTACTAGTGAGAGGGGCGGGCCAACGGTCTTACCAGTGGAGAAGGCGGGGCTGTGGATGTCTGAGCTGTTCTGATTGGTGGAGGTCTGCTGACTGCTGTGCTGAATATGGATGGTCTGTAGCTGCTGAGATACTCCGCCTCCTCCTGATGAACACACGCACACAGATGAAGCGAACCATCGCATTTCAGAGGCCACTCGGTTCAGCCGACGCAGTTGTTGGGAACCCGGCCCACGTAGACCAGAAGGCCGGGTGCAGCCCACCAAATGAGACACGGCTAGGAGAGACAGAGAGCCCACACACCTGACAGGGACAGGGTGGTTGGGAGGCGGAGCAGCGTGGTTGGCTGAGTTTGCTGAGCCAGCGTGGAGGCGGAGCTGGGTCCCACAGGGCCCTGCAGTTGGCTGAGGGGGATGGAGTGTGTGCCGGGGGGCATAGAGGCACCTGTGGACAGGTGAGGGAGGGGGCCACAGACCGGTTAGCAGTTAGAGGCTAGATAGAACATCAGTAAGAATAATAATGTGACAAATATTAATGAGCAGATCCTTGTAATTAAAGCCCAAGCCACCTGAAGCTCCGCCTTCTTACCTGACATCAAGGTGAAGCCTCCAGGGACAATGACCCCAGCGGACGTCTTCAGCAGCGCCCCGTTGGTGGAGGAGGGAGGCTGCCAGGAGGGGAGGCTGGTTTGCACCTGCATGGACGCTGTGGAGGAAGAGGGAGCGGGCTGTGTGGTGCCGGACATGTTGGACATGAAAGCTGGTTTGATCACATCCTACAGGAAGAGACATGAGGGAGAGGGCTGAGCACATTTACCACGTCGTCCAAGGTTACCATAGAACCTTCTCCCGTGATTAAACTGAATAAAAAGCTTATGTTATTTCTTGTACGTCATTTCTGTCTCGACATGGTCGTTCCAATCCCCCCCCACACACACACACACACACACACACACCTCTCTAAGGTTGTCGTTACCTTGGCAACATCAGAGCCGCCGTCAGCCTCGGACACTTGGTAGGTGAGGTCCGTCTCCTCGAAGCCTGTGGCGCTCATCCTCTGGTCGGAGGACGGGTCGCAGCGAGGAGGCGAGTCTGGAGAGTTGAGGCAGGTCTGGATCAGAGCCTTCCCGGTCTCAGAGGTGATCATCGGCTGCAGCTTCCTGGTGGCAAAGGTGTACACGTGACCCGTCTCACTGGCCACCAGCAGCAACACCTGAGTCCCGGTCAGCGTTGACAACTCGTAGGCCTGCAGGAGCAGACTCCTTCGCATCAGTGTGGACAGGAAACTCCTCAGACATTTTAAGAAGGGCGCCAATGACTCTAAAGTGCAGCCTCAAGTGAGACGAACGTCTACAAGTGTCCAAACTGTCCAGGTCGTGGACCACCTGTTGTGAGTTACCGGTCTTGATTTACTCACCTTCTTCATGATACCGGTCTTCCTCTTGCTGAAGGTTGTGTACCTTCTCAGCTTGTTGTCTATGAACTCCATCTTGATTTTAACTCTTCCTCTGGTTTTCTTACCGGGTTTAGCTCCCGGTACCGCGGGGCTGACCCCTCCGGACTGATGACCGACTTCCCGATCACTCCTCTCCCGCTTCACGCCTCTCCTGTCCCCGCCACGGCCTGCCGTGTCCTCGTCCTCCCCGGACTCAGAGTCCATGTCGGAGCAGCTGTACAACACGTCATTGGCGTATTCCCGGTCTCTCTCGGTCCTTGTGTTTACCGGGGGACTGTTGACCTCTTTTCCGGTTCTAGTCCCCATCCCGCTGCTGGCTTGGGTCCCCCTGCACTGGACCTGAAACCCTCCGCCTCCAACTGGGCCAAAGCTCCCTAAAGGTGGAGGCAACAACTCTCCCTAACTAAGCTAACTAGCGTCAAGTAACGGTTAGCATCAGCTAACGGTTAGCATCCGCTGCTTAGGCAACAAGTCAAGCTAACTGTCCGTCAAACTGCGTAAATCACGCAGTAGTGAGGCCAAACTGCCGAAGCACATCAGAGGAAACAGCAAAAAACTTGTCAGAATAAAAACATACGTGGTTTCTCCGGAACCAGTTACAAAGTAGTATTTGTTACCAGTAATTAGTGACGGGCGGCCGAACACCAGCAGCATCTGCCGATATCCCTCCGCGGCGGAATGTAGTTCTGCACATTGTGCGTATTCCTGCACTAAATACTACACAGTATATCACAAACGTTGTCCGCTGACGTTATGTCCCATGAGTGTCTTATTATATATATATATATATATATATATATATATATATTCTGTATTTTCTCATAAAGCCTGAACATACTGGTTATTTGGCCAATGTTTGATAACCGACCGCTGCCAGTTCAGTGTTTCCATCATTATAAACAGGGTGCCCCCCCCCCCCCCCATGACGTAATAAACCTGGGGGAGACACTGCAGTCTACCTCATCAATGGGAACAACGTGTGTGTGACTTGTGTCACTGGGAAATGGGTTGTGGTTTTATCTGTTTAAGTCAGATACATTTGTTGTTGTTGTTGTTTCCATCATCCCAACGGCAGGTCACGTGATTTGCAGGCACCTTCTGATCACATTGTGACGGACTGACGTGTTGTGTGAGCGAGGTTACGCATTAAGAGTTTGTCCTTAATGGAATTTATTTCATTACTTTTACTTTTATACTTTAACTAGTTTTGAAACCAGTACTTTTATACTTTTACTTAAGTAAAAAGCTTGAGTTAGTACTTCAACTTCTGCGGGAGTCTTTTTAAACCCTAGTATCTGTACTTATATTGAGTAATGAATGAAATACTTTTGACACCTCTGGTAATCGGCGGGATAAATTTGTTCCCAGGCAAAACATTAATTAATTAATAAATAAACAAGTGAACAAATAAGATAACATTAATAAATTAATATATAATATCGGTATGGTGGCTCGTGTCATATTTGCAAAAAACTAGTAAAAGATGACCAGATGGAGTGTTCTGTTGTATTGTGACGGGTCGAGGTACATTTCCTGTTATATAGATATGGTCCAAAATCAAGTTTTTCCACTGTGTGATATGTATATTGTTCCTGGATTTCCAGTTCATGAGGATGTTTTATTTATGACGTGTTATAGAGGAGCTGTGACGTTGAGGAGGTAGTGCGCAGTGATACCAAAAGGCAAGATGTGCATTAAGCCACGTAGGGGAACTACTTTATAAAAAAGACGCACGTTTTCTTACAAGGTGCTGCCGCTCCTTATTGGTAAAGAAATACAGACTAACTACAAATTAGTCTTTCTATTACAAATCTACAAACAACAACAAGCCACCTTGAAAATGATATTAAAATGACACAATAAAAACTCGTTGGCGCTCTATCCCTACTATAAAAATACAGGTTGTGTATGTATATATATATATATATATGTGCTCTTCAGTGTGCTACTTGAATCAGGTCAAACAGTGTTTATGACATTATGGATTAATTAGTGAGCCCCGCTTTGACCCTTGATCTCTGAACCATGACCTGGTGCCTGCGGTGCTCTGGTCTGGAGCCAGTCCACCTGCTGCTGAGCTATCTTTACCTGGGATTATCAGCAGGGAGACTTCCTGTTGTTCCTTAGAGAGCTGCTGGTCTCACAGCAGCAACATGTCCTTCAACTCCGCAGCCGGAGGCCACGCCCCCTGGAGGAACAGCAGCCTGCTGCTGGGGGGCGGGCGGGACCCCCCGCTGTCTGACCAGGGAGAGACCATCATTGGAGTGTACCTTCTGCTGCTGGGTCGGCCTCCACACACACACACAATATGTTTCACCTTTTGTGTGTGCGTCTGTGTTAGTTTGTCTGTCTGGGTGTCTGTTTGCACGGCTCTGTGTGTGTGTCTGTGCCTGTCAGTGTGTGTTGCTGTGTATTTGTGTGTGTCTTTCAGTCTCTATGCGATTGTGTGTGTGTGTGCTGCTCACTTGTCCCCTGTCTGACCCCTGTCTCCTGGTGTGTTCAGGGTGGTTGTCCTGGTTTGGAAACAGCATCGTCCTCTTCGTTCTGTACAGACAGAGAGCCAACCTGCAGCCCACCGACTACCTGACCTTTAACCTGGCCGTGTCCGACGCCAGCATCTCTGTGTTTGGATACTCCAGAGGCATCATCGAGATCTTCAACGTCTTCCAGGGCAGCGATTACCTCATCTCCTCCATCTGGACCTGCCAGGTACCAGACTCACCGGACATACACCCGAGAGACACCTGACAAATACCTGTGACACACTTGAGACACGCCTGAAACTCACTGAGAAATATCATACCATACATACCTGAGATGCGCTTAGACTAACCTGACACTCACCTGACATACCTGAGAAATACCTGAGACTCATCCGAGACACAGGAATCCAGCTTTTACCCATCCCGTTTGTGGTGGAAATTTGTGGATTTAGCCCATGTGAGAAATCAAAAGTATCTTGAGCTTGCTTTGTGATTAAGTATTTATTACTAACTAGGATATAGAAAAATGATAAAGAATACAGAAATCATCAGCACAGACAGAAGTCAAATGACTACAATTCAGCTGAAAAGGGACAGAAAGTTCCTTCCCCCAAAAGGAGCAGGAAGATCTGACAAAGTTTCTGGGGGGAACCAGGAGCTTTTATACATCTCTTCGATTCGAGGAATGGTAACCAGATGTTGTTTCGGGAACCTCTCTGTCCAAGCCACATATGGATTTCATCGTGGACTAGGTCAGGTCACGAGTTTCCCAAGAAAGGTCACATACGAGTTCTTGAGACTCTTACAATATGCACCTCAACAAATTCTCCCCCGACACCGTTGTCTCCTCCAGGTGGACGGGTTCTTCACGCTGGTGTTCGGACTCAGCAGCATCAATACCCTGACGGTGATCAGCATCACACGCTACATCAAAGGTTGTCACCCCAACAGAGGTCAGAGTTCATCTTCACGGTGCAGAAGTCTCATAAAGGTCTGATCTTTGTCCGGTGAGCTGAGATGTTCCTCATGTTTCAGCTCGTCACATTAGTAGAACCAGCGTGTCCATCAGCCTGCTGCTCATTTGGATCACAGCTGGGTTCTGGTCTGGAGCGCCGCTGCTCGGCTGGGGGAGCTACAAAGGTACGAAGATTCTAATCCAACTAAACCACCTATCTCTGACCTGTGACCATTGAGCCCTCTGTGCTCCTCTGTAGTCATGAAGTCTTTGAAGGGCTAGTCCTGTCCCACCTAAAAAGCCTCACCGACCCCTCCTGGAACCCCTACAGTTCGCCTACAGAGCCAACAGGTCAACATGGCCCTGGATTCTCCAGCATCTGGACTCCCCAGGAACCTACACCAGCATCCTGTTTGTGGACTTCAGCTCTGCCTTCAACACCATCATCCCGTCTCTGCTGCAGGACAAACTCTCCCATCTGCACGTCCCCGACTCCACCTGCAAGTGGATCACAGACTTCCTGTCTGACAGGAAGCAGCACGTGAAGCTGGGGAAACATGTCTCAGCGTCCCGGACCATCAGCACCGGTTCCCCCCAAGGCTGCGTTCTTTCCCCTCTGCTCTTCTCCCTGTACACCAACAGCTGCACCTCCAGCCACCAGTCCGTCAAGCTCCTGAAGTTTGCGGACGACACCACCCTCATTGGACTGATCTCTGGTGGGGACGAGTCCGCCTACAGGTGGAGTCTGACCATCTGGTGTCGTGGTGCAGCCAGAAAGACCTGGAGCTCAACGCTCTAAAGACAGTGGAGATGGTTGTGGATTTCAGGAAGAACAGAGCCCCACCCTCCCCCATTACCCTGTGTATCCCCTCCGTTTTCTGGGCTCCATCATCACCCAGGACCATCATTATCCAGGACCCTGGAAGCAAACTGACTTGTCCGCTTCCAGGACCCCAGAACACTCTGGAAACTGTTTGTGCCCCAAGGTGGCTGAGATCCATCAGGACCAAGACCTCCCGCCACACAAAAAGTTTCTTCTCTTCGGCAGTCAGGCTCATCAACAGAGCCCGGGTCACCCCCTTTTTCTACCGGTCACTCCTTTGCACATCCCTTCACACTCCATAAGTACATACACTTGAACACTTTTACATACACTCACAACACACTTTGTTAGAGTCTGGTTATCTGTTTGCCTTTGCACTTAATTTGAATTTGTTTTGTTTAATTTTCATCTGTTTTATTCTGTTTTCCTCTAGTTTGTATATTCTTCTATTTTATACTGTAGATTTGCATTGAGAATTGAGCATGTCATTTTTCCCGAACTGTGTTATTTGTCTTGATGACCATTGTCTCATTGTTTTACTGTGCAATGTTATGCACCAACCGCCACATCAAATTCCTTCTATGTCTAATATACTTTGGCAATAAATGTTCCTGATTCCTGATTTCTGATTCCTTCCTGGTCCGCAGACCGAGGCTATGGGACCTGTGAGATCGACTGGGTCCAGGCCAACTATTCCAGTGTCTACAAGTCCTACATCATCTCTATCTTCATCTTCTGCTTCTTCCTCCCGGTGCTCATCATGCTCTTCTGCTACGTGTCCATCATCAACACAGTGAAGAGGGGCAACGCCCTGTCAGCTGGGGGGGAGCTGAGCGACAGGCAGAGGAGGATTGAGAGGGACGTCACCATCGTGAGTCCTCGTGGGTCCTCTTGGGTTGTCATGGGTCCTTGTGAGTCCTTGTGTGTCCTTGTTGGCCCTCATGGGTCTGAGTCCTCATGGGTCCTCATTGGTCCTCATGAATCCTTGTGAGTTGTGGGTCTCATGGGTCTGAGTCCTTGTGGGTCCTCATTGGTCCTCATGAATCCTTGTGAGTTGTGGGTCTCATGGGTCTGAGTCCTTGTGGGTCCCCATGAGTCTGAGACCTCGTGGCTCTGAGTCCTTCTGAGTCTGTCCTCATGGGATTTATCTAGAGGTGACAAGAGGCTAAGCTACATGCTAACGTTAAATCAAAGACTAGTGAGATGACCCCTGCCTGTTGTTGGTTCCTCCAGGTCTCCATAGTGATCTGCACAGCCTTTATCCTGGCCTGGTCTCCGTATGCGGTGGTCTCCATGTGGTCCGCGTGGGGCTTCCATGTGCCCAACCTCACAAGCATCTTCACCCGCCTCTTTGCCAAGTCTGCCAGCTTTTACAACCCCCTCATCTACTTCGGACTCAGCTCCAAGTTCCGCAAAGACGTGGGCGTGCTGCTGCCCTGCACACGGGACTCCAGGGACACCGTGAAGCTGAAACGCTTCAAATCCAAGGCTGAGGCCCACGGGCGCCTCCGGGTCCCCCTCAACCGGACGGAACGGAAGTACTCGCCTGGGTTCCTGCCCCACCCGACCCCTGCCGGGCCCAACTGTAACAGAAGCAGCCCCCCCGGCACGCCGCCGCCCATCAGCAAGGAAGTGTTCCACATCCACATGCCCCGCCCCTCTGACGCCGGGCCTGAGTTTGAATGTGACAGACTCTGATGGAGGCGTGTGGATACATATACATTATATATGTATATTATATAGTTTGGACACACTTTCTCATAGAATTGAATAAGAAGATGTTTACTTTTACTTTTAAATGGTACTGTATATATTATGTCCCTATATTATAGACCTGTCCCTGAGCAAGACACCTAACCCCTAATTGCTCCCCCGGGCAAAAATGTGAAAAAGCCATGGGTTTAAAGTGTAATGTAAGTCGCTTTGGATAAAAGCGTCTGCTAAATGACCTGTTATGTAATGTAATGTAATATGTATTCATATTATTTAAACATATAATATACATAAAATATATATATATATTTATATATATCGCAGATGTATATATAATGATAATTATATAAGGCGTAACAGTGCCAACGTATTACATGAGAACCGTGGTTTGTATTTATTTATGAAGTAATAACATAATAAAAAGCTGAAGAAGGACGTGGCTGTCAGCGTCCTCTAGAGGTGTAACCATGGTGACAGGATATTATGGTCTGTAGTGGGATGAACTGGGGGGGTGAGTACTCTCACGTCTAACGTCTTAAAGCCAAATGAGTTTAACTGATCTAGATTCGTCTGTTTGCAGCCTGCAGGCAGCAGCTGAGCAGATGTTTCATTTTCCACATAATGACCTAATAATCATGTACGTGCGAGTCCACAGTGAGCTCACCGGGATTTAAGGACACGAGTTTGGATCCGTCGTGTTATCCGAGAGGAGCCGAGGAGCTCCGAGGAGCTCCGAGGAGCTCCGGGGAGCGTCAATAGGAGCTCCAGCTCCTCCTCAGCATCCACCCCGCGGACCGGGGAAGCTCTGCAGGACGAGCCGGATCCCGGAGCGGAGAGCGGTGAGTCCAGGCCGATCGGCTCTGTATCGACGATCTCTGCTCACGGACAAAGTGATTGGAGACCTGTCAGGCATCCGGTCCCGTCAATGACGTCATCTGCGGTCAGAGGCCGATGGACGCAGAACGACTGATCAGCCGAACAGGCCACGCGCGCGCGCACACACGCACACAACCCGCTCCTCACACTGTGCTGAGATGACTAATACAATGCAATGCTTCTCATAGTGTATTTGTCTGTCACTGTATTATGTTGTTATCTTCTTTTATTGTATTAATTTATCTCACTATTTGTTGTGTTTTGTTCTAGTGGACTATAATCTCTTATTATTATGACATTCTTCTACATTATTTTCCTGTTTTCTATAATATTTTATCTTCTTACTTTTGTACTATTGTTCTACTTTAATATGTGCTTCTTATTTTATTGTTATTTTTGCTCACTGTCTGAAATTAACTATATGATTTTGTTTCTAACATCAGTGAGGAAGAAATGTGTTTTGTAACGAGGCTAGCATGAAGCTAACGTTACCATAGAAACGCTGTATTACCCTACAAAAGATCTGGTCAGTGAGTGTGAGCATGCGCACAGCAGCGGGACTGGTTTCCATGGTTACCACAGGTTAGGGAGCTGCGCTCTGAAACCAGGTGAAAGAAAGTCAGATTCCTTTCCACGCCACCTAAGCAGCCATGATGCTACCAACATGTCAAGCACATGTGATCAGAGCAATCTGATTACACCTGTCTCCTAGCAACAGTAACCACATCCTGTGGTTGTTCTTGTGTTACCATGGCAATGCCCTGTGAGGCTGAACTAAAATCCTTCAATAGTAGATTATATTAGAGTTCTATATAGTATCTAATGTTGCAATGAAAATGATTCAACCGACCAACGACCAGCACCTCCAGGACTTAGAAGAGCCGCCTTCGGCTGTTATGACGTGATGCAGACGTGATGCAGACGTGATGCAGACGTGATGCAGAGCCAGCAGCTTCCTGTGGAGTCTCAGCCCGTTCCTGACCTGGAGGCAATGAGGCTCTTGGGTGTGCATTTTGGAACAGCATGACATTCTTTCCTAAGACTTCCTGACTGAATCCATCGTGCCCTCCACGCGCTGCAGGTTTCCAGTGCCAGAGGCAGCAAAGCAGCCCCCTCGCATCATTCAGCCCCCGCCATGCCTCACTGTAGGCAGGGGGTTCTTTTCAGCATATGCTTCATTCTTCCTCCTCCAAAAGATCCATGAGCCCCAAAACGTTCCACTGAGGTTTCATCGCTCTATAGAACAGCATTCCCAAACTGGTGGCTTATTTATCTGGTTTTATTTATTAAGTACAGTTGTGATCAAAAGTTTACATACACGTGTAAAGAACATAATGTCGTGGCTCTCTTGAGTTTCCCGTTATTTCTACAAGTCTGATTTTTCTCTGATAGAGTGATTGGAACAGATACTTTGTCACAAAAAACATTCATGAAGTTTGATTCTCTCATGACTTTATTATGGGTTAACAGAAAAAGTGACCAAATTTGCTGGGTCAAAAATATACATACAGCAACATGAATTAGCAATTTTGGTGACTTAGAAAGTTGACAATGAAATGAGAAAAGAGCCACGGCATTATGTTCTTCACAAGAGTATGCCAACGTCTGACCACAACTGTATCTTTATTTATGTGTGTGCATATAGGAGGCTACTATTGATGTGCTTTTGGGTCCGTAATGCGGGCAGGGAACCCTTCAGTGTTTAGAATGCCTTCCTCTGCAAACTGAAACCTCAGGTTCTGCTGCAGGTGTTTTCAGTCACCACTTTCATTACATTACATTACATTACATTACATGTCATTTAGCTGACGCTTTTATCCAAAGCGACGTACAATAAGTGCATTCAACCATAGGGTACAAACTCAGGAGAACAAGAAACAAGAAAGTGCAATTTCCTCAAATAAGCGAATTTACAATTTGCTATAGATGAGTGACGTCACAAGTACAATTTAAGTGCTACAATTTGTTAGTCTTTAGTCGAGGTAGAGTCTGAAGAGGTGTGTCTTTAGTTTGCGGCGGAAGATGTGAAGGCTCTCTGCGGTCCTGATGTCTTCAGAGAGCGCGTTCCACCATTTCGGCGCAAGGACAGCGAAGAGTCGAGACCTAGTCGAGTGTTTTGCTCTCAGTGAGGGAGGGACGAGTAGTTTTGCAGATGCAGAGCGGAGAGTGCGGGTTGGGATGTCGGGTTTGACCATGTCCTGGATGTAAGCTGGACCCGATCCATTCACAGCATGGTACGTGAGCACCAGTGTTTTGAACTGGATGCGGGCAGCCACCGGTAGCCAGTGAAGAGAGCGGAGGAGTGGAGTGGTCCTCAGGAATCTGCTGGCAGCGGCTGATATCTTCGTCTTTCTGCCACATCGTCGTTGTGTAGCAACTGTTCCTTCAACTCACCAACTATGCTTCTACCTGGATCTCTGGGGACATTCTGTGCTTTTGATACCTTTTTGTATTCTTTTCCGTCTTTGTGCAAGGATCTCTTCACTGAACGTTTTTGACAATTCTTTTGCCATATTTCTTTCATGCAATCAAAGATCACTCTCAACAAACCCCTAGCGAGTATGTGTTCTATCTCAAGCACACCTGAACTAATGAGGATACGCTTGAAACACGGAGCTGAATCATTTTAAAGGGGGCTGAAGTACTGAAGATGTTTGTCATCCAGGGTTTGAATCATTTTGACACTGCAGGGATTAGAAATAGCATTTTGGATTGAATTTCGATGAAACCACAATCCCCCCCTCGTCTTTGCCCAGGTGGACCATGCCGTTGGTGAAGCGGCTCATCGAGCCCCGGCATCTGTGCCGCGGCGCTCTGCCTGACGGAGTCATCAGTGAACTCGAGTGCGTCACCAACAGCACGCTAGCTGCTGTCATCAAACAGCTGGGAGGCCTCAGTGAGTGATGGTTACCGATGATGATGATGTAACAGAGTGTCCGCCAGGTGAAGATCTGAGCTGTGTGACCTGCAGGTCGTCATGCAGAGGACATCTTCACTGAGCTCTTCACTGAGGCCAACACCTTCTACCTGAGGATGAGCAGCCTGCAGGAGAGGGTGGACCTTCTGGCTGTGAAGGTCACTCAGCTGGACTCCACGGTGGAGGAAGGTGGGTGAAAATGTGTAGACACATCATCTTCTTCATCACCACCATCGTCCTCACCATCATCATCTTCTTCATCATCCCCATATTCTACTTCATCATTGTAATCATCATCACCATCGTCATCTTTTTCATCATCACCACCATTATCAGCATCCTCTCCATCATCTTCTTCATCGGGATCATCATCATCACCATCATCTCCATGTTCATCGTCACTAAAATGCAAAACATTGAAAACAAACATTAAAGCAATAAACAAGAATAAGTTGCAGTTAATGGAATAAACAGTAAAAAGCACCCACATCATCCTTGAATCTGGTCAACTAAAGGCAGCAGAGAAAGTCTTGAGTCTCTCCACAGACCTGTGTGTCCTCCAGTCTGTCCACCTGTTTGGGAGTCTCAGCAGACCTGCAGCTTCCTGGGAGTTTGTCGAGTCAGATATGTGGAGCAGAGAAACTCAACACTGCTTCTCTGTGTGGTCCCGGCTCTGGGGAGTGAAAGGAGTCTGGGTGGTTTGTACGGGAACAGGTCTAAGCCGTTCAGGGCTTTATAAACCAACCACAGGGCTTTAAAGTCAATTCTTTGTTGGGCAGGAAGGCAGCGTCAGACCTCAGAACTCGAGCGATTTGATCCATCTTGGTCTTAGTTAGGACTTGAGCTGCAGTATTCTGATTGACTTTTTACAGAGACCTGCGAACACACTGTTACTAAAGTCCACTCTACTGAAGATTCTTTTCAATTCATTTTATTTTTTTATTACAGTTTGTACACATGCAACATCCTCCGTCCCAAAACCAGAATGCTTGCACAAGTTTTTCCAAATCCTGTTGAGACTTATGTTGTGGAATATTTCAATAAACTAGTCCGGGAGAAGAGAATGATTTCCTATAATATTTATCTCATAAAACCACGTCTTGATGAATGATCAAAGTTGCAAAAAGTCCATTTATTGCCTGTAAGCAGGAGGTCAAACACACCAGCACGTATCACAGCGCTCTGTCTCCCAGCAGTAGTTGTTATACACGTGTGAAGGCCGTCCTCAGTCGCAGGAACGAGAAGCTGCAAACCAAGTTGGGGTAAGAACCCAGGTTAAGATGGAGCAACACACGGTTCCTTTGTTCCAGCGTCTGTGTGGGAGTTCTTCACACACATTAAATCACTCCTTTAGCATACGACTATGTTACAACATATTTTTATTATTACACTTAAATCCTCTAATCCTTTATATATTCTTCAGGTTATAATCGGCTGATTTTGTAATTATACAACTACATTTCTGGGTTGGTTTGTGGTTTTTAACATCAGCGATTGAAGCTCAGCTTGACTTTTGTTTGTTTGTCCTTGGCCTCAAAAACAATTCTGTTTTATCTTTGTTTAATGTCAATTCAATTCTGGCACATCCTGTTGTTTTATTTATTTAATGCATTGACCCAACCCTTGTATGAGATTATAGTCCTCTGGCTACATTGTTATATAGATTTGTGTGTTGTCTGCATAATTATGACACTCTTTATTCTTTCCATAATCTGAGCTAGTGGAAGCATGTAGAGGCGTTACGTTACATCACAGGTCATTTAGCAGATACTTTTATCCAAAGCGACTTACATTGCACTTTAAACCCATAGCTGTCCACATTTTGCCCGGGGAGCAATTAGGGGTCAGGTGTCTTGCTCAGGAACACTTTGACTTGAGACATGGGGCAGCCGGGACTCGAACCACCAACCGCGCCACGACGACCCCCCCCCCACGAGGTGTTGAACAGGAGAGGCACCTATTGAACCTTGGGAATCACCACATGCCATTGAAGTGGATGTCCTAGAAAACCTATAGTACAATGTATACTAGTAGTAGTAGCATTTATACTACTAAGAATTACTACTATATACTATATTACTACTCCTGCTAATACTAAGTATTCAACTGATTTCTACTAATACTGATAGTACTGCTACTAATACAACTAGTCGTACTTCTACCGTCTATTGAAGGTACTGTTGGTCTTGTAGTGTCTCTGCAGGACATCAACATGAGGAAGGCTTTCCGAAGCAGTACCATCCAGAACCAGCAGGTGGTATCACGGGCCTCCATCCTCAACCCGGTTCTGGAGATGTACCAACGCTGTGACAAACCACCCCCCCTCAACATTCTGACTCTTTATAGGTCAGTTTAACATGCTGCCATCACGGCTCCCCATAGGTCACGTTTAACATGCTGCCATCACGGCTCCCCATAGGTCACGTTTAACATGCTACCATCATGTGTGTTTCTAGGGACGATAAGAAGGACGGTATGAAGTTCTACACCGACCCGTCTTACTTTTTCAGCCTGTGGAGGGAGAAGATGCTTCAGGCCACCGAGAACAAACGAAAGGCGAAGAGAAGACAGAAGGTTTGTTCGCTTTCATCTCAAACGTAACATAATCAATATAAACAGAGTGAAAAGCTTCATTTTTCTGTCCAGGAACAGAAACACGTGGAGGAGTCTTCAGGAAGGGAGGTGAAGAAGGTGAGTAATGTACATTAATAGAGACATAGCGTAAACAAAGACAGACACAATGTAAAAAAGAGACCCGCGGACCCCCGGTACAGGGGGTCTGCGGAGGTACTGCAGGGGGGTCGCCAAATCTTTGGTTGATGAGACAATTTTTTTTTTTTCAACCAATTTTTTTTCCACAAATTTAAATGTCTTGAGAATTGTATTTATTGTCTTTAAATACCGATTAACATGAATCCAACATGTCGTAGAAACAGATAAATTGATGGAGGAGACGTCGTCTTTCAGTCCCGCTGATACGACATCACAGCCAATCAGATCCATTCATGCGCACGTCTAAAGAGGGCGGAACTGAAAGATAAAAGATGGCGGACCAAACTGCGTAAAATAGGGGGCATTATAAGTCATATAATGTCAGGAGTCAGGAACATTTATTACCAAAACATGTTAGACATACAAGGAATTTGACTGGGGAGTTGGTGCATAACATCAGACAAGACAATGGACAACAAGACAGATAAGACAACATGAAGAGAGTGACCGGTGGACCGTCAGAGTCAGTCAGTGGGGGACCGGCTCTGTTGATGAACCCGACTGCCGACGGGAAGAAACTGTTGGTGTGGCGGGAGGTCTTAGTCCTGATGGACCTCAGCCTCCTGCCAGATGGAAGGGGCACAAACAGGTTTTGTCCGGGGTGAGAGGGGTCGGCTACCATCTTTTTAGCTGCTTCGGAGACCTGGAAGCGAACAAGTCCTGCAGGGACGGCAGGTTGCAGCCGATCAGCCTCTCTGCAGAGCGGAGGACACGCTGCAGCCTGCCCTTGTCCTTGGCTGTGGCTGCAGCGTACCAGACGGTGATGGAGGAGCAGAGGACGGACTCCATGATGGCCGTGTAGAAGTGGACCATCATCGTCTTTGGCAGGTTGAGTTTCTTCAGCTGCCTCAGGAAGAACAACCTCTGCTGAGCCTTCTTGGTGATGGAGCTGATGTTCAGCTCCCACTTGAGGTCCTGGGTGATGATGGAGCCCAGGAAACGGAAGGAGTCCACAATAGTGACGGGGGAGTCACACAGGGTGATGGGGGAGGGTGGAGCTCTGTTCCTCCCGAAATCCACAACCATCTCCATTGTCTTTAGAGCGTGGAGCTCCAGGTTGTTCTGGCTGCACCACGACACGGACTGGTGACTGGAGGTGCAGCTGTTGGTGTACCGGGAGAAGAGCAGAAATGACCATGCACATGTTTTATGTTGACATACTTAATAATGTAGCTTAGTAGCTCTCCTCTGTTGATGGACTACTGGGAACACCTTTATTGATTGATTTCTCTGTGCTTCCTGAAGGTCCGTAAAGCCCGTAACAGACGCCAGGAGTGGAACCTGATGGCGTACGACAAGGAGCTCCGCCCCGATGCTCGGATGTCCCCGTCACCCATCCACACCTCTGACGGCTCCATGTCACCAGAGAGGTAAACACGCTGGTCCTCACACTTCACCGTCATCAGTCCCAACCAGAGGTCAGACTCAGCTGGAATAGCAAACGCTTTCAATCACTATTTCATTCCTTCAGTACCTACTTTTGCTACATTTTTCTCTCTTGAGAATACACACGTTGGTATATTAAATTCATCAGAGCCGACCTTCAGAATACGAATATATATACGGTATATATATATATTATTATTTTATTTTTTTACCGTATACATTTAATATACATTGTACGTGTATATATCCCATCTGCAAAATCACCAACCTCTCAATCTCTCAGATCATGTTTTCCACTGTTTGGAAGTCGGCTGCAGTTGCTCCAGTATTCAAAGATGAGAGATCCTCTTTTTACCTGTATACAGACAGATCAGTATCCCGCTAACAATTCCAAAAGTCGCAGAGAAGTTGGCAGCTGAGCATTTGATCTGCCATCTGAATACCAGTTTGTTTGCCCTTCACCCAATGCAATTTGGCTTTAGAGCCAATTATTCTACTGACACCTGCTTCTTCACAGAAAACAATCTCTATTGGACAAAGGGGGGTGTTGTTTAAGTTGTACGTCTTGTTATCAAGAAGGCATTTCACACTGTTAGAATACTTTTGTCCAAGTTGCACAGCTTCAGTTTCTCACCAGGTAAATGGATTGAATATATTTTGCTAAATAGATCTTAGTAGGTCCAAATACATAATTATCAATCTATTCACCTCCACTTGTCCACAAGCGTCCCATAAGGATCTGTCCTGGGCCCAGCGTTGTTCTCTCGTCTCACTTCCTGGTTGTAAAGTCGTGCGTGTGTTGCAGAGCGATTCACCTCCAGAACAACAGGTGGAGTCACGTGTTTTGTTGAAGACGACCTAGAGAGTCACGTCTTTGTGTGTGGAAGTCGTTGGTTGCTTTATTTATAGATCATAGACTTTATTGCCCCGTGCATCCACACTGCTGCTTTTCATCAAGGACACATTTGTCCCGTATTTTCCTCCATGACTTTGTTCCCCTCGTTTGTGGAGATCTCCCTCCATGAATCAGAGGCCATCCGGCGTCCTCATAGTCCGCCAATGACGGCTTGTACAAGTGCTCATATTTACACATTTCTTCCCTCAAAAGCTCTTCAATCTGATCCGTTCTCTCGTAAACATTCTTCCTTTTAATAATGGCCGTATTGTGCTGTGAAAACGGAGACGTGAGACTCCGTAAAGGACGTAGTCAGCGGACCAATCACAGCCTGGTGCTCCAGGAGGCTGCGTCGCTTTAGACGCTAGTCTAGAAAAACGGGTCGACGCACGCAAGGAGGTGAAAAGACACGCAAGGGACATGCTTTGAAAACACTTTGCTTTACTCCAAGGTTCATGTGACTGACGGTTAAAGCGATGCTGTTTACAACTAAATGTAAAGAATTTCCCAAATTAACTGTAAATGAAGTGTAAAGCCGGACAACAGAGGCCGGTAATACGTTCATGCTTTATGTTGTTTCCCATATTACCTACTGTCTAAGGACCTGGTCAAAGCACCACTACTGTGAAACCACTACAGTCATTGTCTAAACCAACACTCAAAATCATTCATTAAGAATCTATTCTTTCTCATCAGTACAAACACATATAAACCTTGTTTAGTTAGGAGAACAGCATTAAACATGTGAATGTCTGTACGAAGATTATTGCGCCCTCTCCCCCGCTCAACCTGAGCCGACTTTTTATCACAGCAATAACTGGACATTGGCTCACAAGAGCTGCAGCAGGAGGGGATTTCATTACCCACTACCAAGTGCTCTCAGTACGAGGTACACGGCAGTGGAAAGAAATGGTTCTGCACTAGAATGGAACTGCACTTGTGTCTTTGTCCATCGGTCTGTCTGTCTCGAAATTGCTGGTCGTCCATCATCTAGCGGCATATATGTCACTTATGTTGTTTAGCTGTGTCTGACTGCTTATATCTTTCAATAAAAAAATGAATGTCCTCCCCCATTTAGGTCAGACGACTTGTCCTTTCACACCAGTCCCCACCCCCACGAGGCCCAGGGGCATGATGGGAAGGAGTATGTGGCGGTGGCGAGCAGTCAGACCCAGTCATTGGACCGCGCCCTCCGACCCGCCTCTGCGTCATCTGTGGTCGCCGCAGCAACCGCCCGCCAGCACTCGCTGGGCCGCAACCAGCCGCATCATCTGCCCCACCCCCCACCGCTCACTGGCTTGGCTAGTCAGAATGGAGCACAGACCAAGGAGGCCAAGTACGCTCACGCACACGCACAGTTGGCAGCTTTATTATGTGACTCATGTTTGACCTCTGACCCCCTTCTCGCTTCAGTGACCATCAGATCCCTCCAGCTCCCCCACCCCCTCCTCCCCTCATGCCGTCAGCAGGACAAATGTCGTTCCCCAACAGCTCCGCTCACACAGCTGCCATGGCAACCCCGCTGCAGCCTGCTGCTGCTGGTAACCAAGGTAACCGCCACCCTCCATTGTGTTCCTTGTGTTTGTGTTCACTACCATCCATAACTGTCTCCGCCTTTAGGTGGCGCTGGGGCAGTCTCTCGCCCCTACAACCTCTCCCCTCCACCGCCCCCCCCAGCCAACTACAACCCCTCCCCCTTTCGCCCGGGAGGCCTGCCACCCCCCCTCGCCACCGTACCACTGACAGCCGACAGTAGGAAGCCTCTCATCGTGCCGCTGAACGATGCCCGCAGCGACCTGCTAGCCGCCATACGCAGAGGTAAGGTCTCACCAAGAGCTCAGTCCAGCCTGTGGTTGCACGGCTCTGAGGTTCTCCTCTCTTCTCATGGTTGCACAGGCATCCAGCTGAGGAAGGTTCAGGAGCAGCGTGAGCAGGAGGAGGCCAAGAAACGAGAGCCCACAGGAAACGACGTGGCCACCATCCTGTCGCGGCGCATCGCCGTGGAGTACAGTGAATCCGAAGATGAGTCAGAACCTGAGGACCAGGAGTGGTCCGACTGAGGAGGTTTTAACCTGCCGGTCCAGGAGTATTTAACACACACAAATGATATATATGTTATGTAGGTAGAACCGCATAGTCACAGTTCTACAATCTCCAGGTTTTAATGACTCTTCTATTCAGGACAATGAAGATCAAAGGTCACATGTTGCTGCTTTTACAATGGTTTGTTACGAGTAGATGTTTTATCGTTGTAATATTTTCTTTTGTATTTTATAGTCATGTTCAGTTATTGATTATAGATGATTATTGTTGTCCCTGTGAACCTTGACGTGACCGCAACATGAGTCCCTTGTCGTTATGGTACCAAAGGACATGTTAATTGTTTGTGTGTGACACCACAGCTCATCTATAAAAACAGGAAGCAGTAGCATTCATTAAATTCACAGCTAATCTGTGATTGGTTGTAGAGATGTATTGATTTATTAACTCATGATCTGTGCGTTCTGATGTGATTTTGCATGTTGGTGGAAAAGAGTAAATAAAGTAAAATCTGAAGGAACTTTGACCAGAGCCTTGTTCCTCGTACGTGGCTAACTGAGTTAGCCGGCTAATTTTCAGGATGAGATGAGATAGATCAGGCTTTCTCGGTTTCCCGAAGCAGGTTTGGCTAAATCACCATAGCAACACATCGAAAAACTTGAACCTGCTCTGGCGCAGGTTCATCTGAGCTGCTGGATTAGTTCATCACTCCCTGGGAAAAAAAAGACAGCTCACTTCCTCATTGATCAGGAATCAGAAATCAGGAAACATACCGTCTCTGTTAATGAGTCCGACTGCCGACGGGAAGAAACTGTTGGTGTGGCGGGAGGTCTTAGTCCTGATGGACCTCAGCCTCCTGCCAGATGGAAGGGGCACAAACGGGTTTTGTCCGGGGTGAGAGGGGTCGGCTACCATCTTTTTAGCTGCTTCAGAGACCTGGAAGCGAACAAGTCCTGCAGGGACGGCAGATTGCAGCCGATCACCCTCTCTGCAGAGCGGAGGACACGCTGCAGCCTGCCCTTGTCCTTGGCTGTGGCTGCAGCGTACCAGACGCTGATGGAGGAGCAGAGGATGGACTCCATGATGGCCGTGTAGAAGTGGACCATCATCGTCTTTGGCAGGTTGAATAGGGTGATATCAGTTAGATTAACGTTTTAGGGAGACAGTTCTCCGAGATCAAAAAGACCTGTTATGACATGGCGATGACGTCGTCTACGAGCACTGTCGATGCTGAAGACAGGAATCATTTATTTACAAGAAGATTATCCCGAGCTGAAACGTCACGTGATGAACACCACATGCTGCAGTCGAGCATCCACTGTCTCACATACTGTCCCACGGACTGTCCCTACTAACTCTCATACTCTCTCACACACAGTCTCATGTCTCACACGGTCTCATATCTGTACAGCGTTGCGATGCAGAGAACATCTGGAAAGCCGCTGCATGTCGTGCTCTTCGTAAAGTTCTGTTGGTTTATTTGTTGCTTAATAAACTTCTGGATGTTCCACATTTAAATGCTTCAATTGATCAAATGTCTGATTATGAATAATTATATATATATATATATATATAATATATTATATATATATATATATATTATATATATATATGTCCACACCTAGTTCTATATGGTCATTACACATACATCTGATACATAAGCTGGTACATAGATCCTATTCATTCGTATCAATCGGATTCTTTGGGCTTGTTTTCATCTACATACTCTGAAAGAGTTGAGATCATTATTCTCATTGGATGATGATCATCATGAAGCCTCCTGCAAACAGACACATTTAAATAGATATCTGATTGATTAGAGTGACGAGGCACTTTTTACCAACACGCATTTAAAGTGAACTTGTGTGATACTTTGTCGGGCTTGTAGCCTCCAGGGGGCGCTGTCAGCTTTTGCCTCATGTGTCTTTACAGTCAGTACACATGTGACGTCCTCTGTCCAGAAACCATCACATCAGCACAGAAAAACGCCCCAAACAATGAAAACGCTTCGATGGGGAGAATAAACCTTTAGAGACACAGGGACGGACACACTGCGATGGACGTACAGAATGAACCACGTAGAAGATGTAACGTTACAATACGTTCAATTCATCCGACAGAAATGATTCAAATGAACATATTATCTCCTCATATGTGTTCATGATCATTTCCTGCTCGTCAGCGGGGGAAAAAAGACTCTTAAGTTTATTTGCCGTTATACTGTTAAAAATACTGTCCCTGTTTCGGCGATCGACTCCTGATGATTGAGGTGACCTGATGTCAATCGGACATTTGATCGACTTAGATGAGCCACGTGTGAGGAACAGGACCCTGACAAGATATATATTTTTATTTAGTTTATTTTTATACTTACAATCTGTAGTTTGAAGTATGAAGTGTTTGTGTCATATAAGACCTCCACCTGTGGAGGGCAGCAGAGACGCGGAGCATCACGAAGAAGAAACACCGGAAGTGAGTAAAAAGAAAGCAGCGGGAAACACGGAAGAGTCCGTGAGTGACGCGTCCGCGCGCACATCCTCGTGTACTTTGATTCTACCGGAGGCAAACTTACCGGATCCTTCTGCACCACACGGCGTTCAAACCCGCGTATTTAGTGCCGCGTTTCTCCCAAAATAAGTAATTATTGGAAGAAAACACTAATGTATTTCAACTCTCACAGTCAATGGTTAATCAATAAGTTAAATGAATGTGACCTGATTCATTGATTCAATTAAATGTTTTTTTATTGGAGTTTGGTGTGTGTGTGTGTGTGTATAACAATATTCTATGTTTCAGGGTCTGCGGTGCGCTTGTTTTGCTAACATGTCGGTGCAGACGTGGGCCCTGTCATTTCGGCAGCCGTACGCTGGCCTGGTTCTAGACGGGGTGAAGACGCTGGAGAGCCGTTGGAGGCCTGTTTTGGCCCCGCTGGAGAACCAGACCCTGGCGGTCCACATTGCCGTAAGAGACTGGGAGGCGGAGGACTGGAAGGAGGTGCTGAGCGGCCCGCTGGGAATGAACCCGATTCAGATCCAAGCGCTACTGGACTCGGGCGAGAGGTTTGGTCGCGGCGTGGTGGCAGGTAAGGATGCGAATGGGTGGTGTAGGAGTTGATCCAAAACGCTTCGTCTCATCGGTGACCTCTCTCAGGATTGGTGGACGTGGGTGGAACCTGGCTGTGCCGTCCCTCCCTGCAGCGGGATGAGCAACAACTCCTCGAGCAGTCAGCTGTTCTGGTTGGTCTGCAGGAGAAGCACCTGACTCGCCTATCCAACCCTCGTTGGCTCAAGAGGCCGCTGAAGACGCGGGGAGGTCGCGACCTGTTGTCTGTGGAGATCCCCGCTGAGCTGTTGCCATGACGATGCCAAGATGTATCCCAGGATTACCGTTCATAACGGACAGTCTGTTTGAACATTAATGCTAACGTGTCTGTAAGACATGAGGTCATGTGAAGCAGCATTAACTGCTGGTGAAACAAACTTTATTCACCCAGAAAGAAAAGAAAACCAGTTTGAACAGACTCAAACACAAATAGATCCCTCGATAAACAGGGACAGTCACCCCCCCTTTGACCGGTTGACAAATTAAACTAATCAACCTCCATGAAACGATCTGTTCAGTCACAACCAACAAATAAGTGAAAAACTAAAACTCTCCTTTAGCGCGTGAATCAAACACGACCACGCTGACAAACTTGTTTTCATAACATCTTTCAACATTAAAATGTTAATGTTTCTTTGGTTGTTATTCTCAAATGTTGTTTTAATCACCAACGTTACTTTTTCTGCCAACTCTTTAGCAGTTAGCCCTTTTCATGGAACACAAGGGGCGTGTTAGATGGGGGGTGAGATGTAGTGCGTTGGCGGCGCTGTGATGTAACCGACCACGTGGGTGGGGTTAGAAGTGGGGCAGTAGACCCGGGTGCCGTGGCCTCCAGTCTGCAGTGCACCCCAGTGGGCAGAGGGAGGGAGGCAGGTATGGTAAGAGGAGTGATGGGTGAGGTGAGGAAGGGGGGGGGGAGCTGATGGCATGTAGGTGGTGGGGGGCGGGGCTTCGTACGGCAGGTGCAGCAGCGACTGAGGGGGGAGAGGTGTTTGATCGTGGTACAGGAGAGAAGAGGAGGAGGCGGAGCAAGGAGGGGCTGGGCTAGTTGAAGTGGAGGGGCCTTCGCCTGAGGGGGTGGGACAAAGACAAAATCACATCAGCGTACCCAGAAGTAGCAAAAAGCCTGTAGTGATGTCACTGAAGCCCAGAGGAGCTCCCAATGCGTCCGTCCTCCGGAGCTCTGATGTCATGAACACAAGATTAAAACGCTCGATGTCACCCTAACAACATGATTAGCTCTTATAGTGAAGAACTCAATACGTCTACATTACAAATATTACATTATAATAAAGGGGTTAGGCGTCTTGCTCAGGGGCACCGCCAACCCTGCGGTTTCTAGTGCGCCCTCTCCCCCACGTCCAAATATCAAAGTGTGTCAGACTGACCTTTTCTACAACTGTTGATGCCACAGATCAATCAGACTGAAACCAAATCAGATAATCAATGTGTTGGCTGACAGACAAACCCACGCTGTACTGACCACCGCTGTGTCCGTCCGTCTGTCCATCTCCTGCCCTGGTGGATTCTGGGTAGTAGGAGGAGGTTTGATGGAGGCCTCGAGTCGTCTTCTGGGTAGAGCGGGGGGGCGGCTAGAGAAAGGTCATAAAAACAGAATGAGAAGAACCATTCAGAGAGGAACTCAGAAGACTACAACCAGAGCGTCACATGGACGCAGCAGCCAATCAGAGACCGAGTAGGCCTTACCATGCAGGGGCTCCTGGTTCAGGTAGGGGGTGTAGTGCTGGTAAGGGTAGGAGGCCTCTGGTGAGGTGGCAGGGTACGCCTGCTGCTGTTGCTGCCAATAGCTCTGATGGTACCACTGTGTGTGTGGGAGGGGGGGTATTTTCACATTGGCAATTATTCATAACTTGAAGGGGGGGGGAGGGTGTTATTATAGTCTTACCTGGACTCCTAAATTGAAGTAATACTGGAGGACTCTGCAGTCTATATACATACACACACACACACACACACACACACACTGAGACAAGAAGCTGCAGGAAGTGACAATGCGTTTACGTGGGTTGACCTCTGACCTCTGGGTAAATCACTGCCGTTAGGATCGTAGGAGTAAGCGGGCGGCGCTACCATGGTGCAGACGGGCTCACCCAACTCATTAACCAACCAGGGAGAAGAGGCTGGAATCCCCATGGCAATTAGGAATAGAAATAATGAATCACATTTCTTCTCTTGCATTGTGTACATGCGCGTGTGTGTGTGTGTGTGTGCGCGCGCGTGTGCGTACCTGAGCGTGTCTGTGTGGCTGCCGGCAGGTGGGCAGTGGCAGGTACACGTGATGGAGAAGAGGGTGAGGAGGAGGAAGACGAGGGTGAAGAGCAGATTACTAATGGTTTCACCACCTGAAAGACAGGAGACCCATTTGTTAATAAACATACGAGTTCAGGGTCTATCAAACTAAACGTTTAGGCCCCGCCTCCACTGCGTGACCGCACCGCTTCATTCCGTCTATTATCTTTTGCTGTAAGAGCTACAAACGGGTGGCGTCCCCTCGCTGAGGCAGAGCTCCATCATGTGCTCAGCACTGAGCATGAAGCAAAAATGACTTTACACAACGTAATACTTTAACTTCTTATATTGCTCACCCGGTACTCTTTGTTATTGGGTTAAGTTTGTCATAACCCGTCAATGGACTACAGATGCAAATTAGCCAAGCTATAATCTGATACAGGGCAACGTGTTTGAACTGTATATGGTTCCTCATAAACAAACAAAAGGACAAGTTTCCTCCATCGTCCCACAGGAGGCCAGAGGTTTGTTCCAGCAGGATCCAGATGTTGTCTTGTCATAAATATTGTGTGTACCTGCTGTGTGTAGCTGTAGTTCATCTCTGGTCTCGGTGGCGAATCAGTAGTTCCTCTTTCCTGTTCGTCCTTTCAAAATAAGATAATAATTTAACTGACTTTTTTTTGTTCTACTTGCCTGGGTCTCTAGACTGTTTTATCACTGATCATGTGAGCCAATATTACACCTTCATTTATTTCTTTGTATGCGGAGGATACTCTGCACCCACGTTCAACACGTCTCACAATACAGAACTTATTTCCATTTACCACTCAACATCTGGAAGCTATGGTTCTCAGCCAGCAGAAGATCTCATTTTAGTTTTATTTGAGACGCACTAGCCAAACATCCAGCAGGTGTGTTACCTTGTTGGAGGGCTCAGCAGCAGTGTAAACACCTGAGGTCTGGTAGTTCTGATCTGAAAGGGTTCACGTTAGAACAAACATGCATCACTTCCTGAGGACGTCTGAGAGAACCTTCTGGTGAACGTACCCACCTTGAGTGATGTAGATGTAGTCCTCTGTGTACTCTGCTGAAACAGGAATAACACCACATGGAACAATACAACTCCCTGCTGGATCAACCTGAAAGCTTTAGCTCAGTTTTTACCCTGGTCCTCTACGGTGCTGGCATCCTCCTGGTCCTCCTCGGACGAACAGATGGGGGGGCTCCCAAGTGGAGGTGCAGGCCCCGCCCCTCTCTGAACTCTGTAGGCGGAGCCGTTGGGAGGGGGCGGGGCTCCTATGGAGGGGGGGGGCACAGCGGGACCCTGGAGGAGCCACATTAAATAAAAACGATAATTCCCCAGGACGTCCTTTCTTTGGGTGAGAATGACTAGCGGTCACATGACTCATGCACTCGGGAGCACACAGCAACAACTAGCTGAGCGTGCTGAAAATAAAAAGGGTTACTGTGCCCTCACGTCTCATGCAGATCAATAAATCAACCTGGATCTTACCGCCAGCGGGGGGAAGACACCGTCGCGGTCGTCCAGCTGATAGAAGGTGATGTTGGCCTCCAAGTCAGACGTCTCCTCCTCCACCTCCGCTGGGAACCCAAACTGACAGTCTTTGTTCAAGGCAGCCGCCAGCTGACGACGACTACGGCTGAACAAATGGGGGTCCCGTTGTCATGGTTACTACATGCACAACAAGCAACAACCAACGGTCTTTCTATGATGTCAGAAGGGTGATCAATACTTGATCGGTTCTTTACCGTGACCTGAAGGCATAGCTCTCGTAGTCATGGTAATACCTCCTTCCAGGGTGGTAATAGGTCAACTGAGGGCCAATCAGGTGACGGTTCAGGAAACGGGTGGAGCTTCTGAACAGAATCCAACACACAAGTTCTTTTCTGGCTCACAGGTAACAAACAGGTGTTTGTCTGTCTGTTGCAATATGCGATAAAATTAGTTGGTGCTGCGACATTCATTTTACATATAAATGAACGTCACCAACATTTAAGTTGATCGCGCTGCCTCGGTCCTTTTTCCTTATGGAGAGGGGGGCGGGGCTTAAGAGACAGTGAACCCAACTAAGCTAAAACAACCACCTTTAACCTGAACTACTGTCGGCTCCTCCGACTGCTCGTCCTCTTTGGGCGGGAGGAACGTCGTCTCCGGACCGCCGCACTTTCCCACTCGACACATTTTCTCGAACCCGACCGCATCAAGCCTGATGCTTCGCCCGCTCCGTGTCCCTTGCACTTATTGTATTTATATTAGGATATATATTTTCACATTCCGATCCTAATGTCTAACTATTCTGACAAATAAAACGTTCTTTGTTATTTGAAATAGCGTATTTTTATTACTTTGATATTATATTGTTATTATGTTATCAATGGCAAAAAATAGTCTGAAATTTGCAGTAATATCGCCATAAATGTAAATAGTCTCACAACAACCACGTGCTATCGAGACGGCCCTGGTGGCTGGGTCTGCTAGAGTCCCACCTGGAGGCTCCGTAGCGAGGAGGTCTGGGTGGGGGGTGGTGGTGGGGGGGGGCGTAGGGGTCATAGGTCATGGTTCCTGGTGACAGGGGGGGTGGCGGGCGAGGGTGGCCTGCTGGCTGGAAGCGGGGGGGCAGGGCGGAGGAAGTCGGGCCTCCGTAGGAAGTCGGCGACATCAGAAGCTCCGCCCCCTTCAACCCGCTGTTGCCACGAGACTTCCTGAAGTAGCGATGGCGGTGATGTCGCTGACCACGAGAGTCGACGTCTGGCAGAAGAGACATAACAAGTGTATAGACATGGACGCGATAGAAGCGGGAAAGACATGACGAGAGGAGGGACAATGGAGCTATTAAGCAAACATCTGGAGAGGGGGGACAAAGTGGACCCCGGAGAGAACAAACCCAGGTCTCCCTTCCTGATCGGAGCAGCGACGTTCCAGGCTGGAACTGGGTTGACTGGCTTCAGGTCCGTCAGAGGAACCAGGTGTCTGAGACAGAAAAGGACATAAACAATGTCTTCGAGGGACTCGGCTGGAGTTCGCTCTATTTGGGTCACGTGTTACTTCTCTCCCAGCTCTTCAATAAAGACGGTGACGGCCGCCGCGTGCGTTCCTACTTCCTGGATGAAGGCGTTGTAGTACTTTCCCTTTGGCTCCAGACGCACCTTAGACAGACACAGCGGAGACACCAGAGGCCGTCTTACAGGAGGACAAACTGAGCCACAACCACCATGTTGACCTCTATCGAGCAGATCGTTTTTTTATTCAAACCCTTGAGGGAGGAGGTCTCAAAATAAAATATCTACCACCAACTTTAGGGATGAGGCATTTCTGTAGTGCACACAAGTCATCGTCACTGGTTCCCTCCAATAACAGCCAATCATTCCATGGGATTCTGGGTTATTACATAAAGATCATCTTTGAAGAGTAAAAGAAGATCGGCCTTTAGAGGAACTTTTATTTTGGTATTTTTCATTACTTTGATGTGTCCTTTTGTTCTGAAATGTCACGTATATAAACAGGTTTGCCGTGATGGAACCCGATGAGGAGTCAGGTGTCAAATCAGGCCGCTGCACCGGTGCTACTTGTGTGCAACCGGATGAGCTCCCAGCTACACTACCAGCAGCAGAAGTGGTGTTACCTGACACTTGTCTCCCAGGAAGTACTGCCTCCCCGCAAACACCATGTAGTCAGTCTTCTGCATTTCTGTCAGAAAACATTTCATTTAGATGCTTTTTATACAAAACATCTTACAATAATTCATTCAACCATAAAGGGAACAGACCAGAACAGCAAGAATCAAGTACAATTCTTCAAGAAAGTGCTAATAAAGTGCTACCTAGTCCAGGTGGACTGCTTTTAGCTTTACAGGCTTTCTGCTGCCCCGATTTAATTGCCCCCAATTGAGGCAGAACATCAAACAGGCGGTATGTTGTTCAGTGAGGGAGCAACAAGCAGATCGATCTAGAGCAGAGTGAGCAGGCAGGGACGTGAGGTTAGACCAGGTCCTGGATGTAGACCCGACCCATCCGTTTCCACCACAAGTACCAATGTCTTAAAACTGCTGCAGCGGACCGGTAACCAGCGACGGGAGCGGACCGGTAACCAGCGACGGGAGCGGACCGGTAACCAGCGACGGGAGCGGACCGGTAACCAGCGACGGGAGCGGACCGGTAACCAGCGACGGGAGCGGACCGGTAACCAGCGACGGGAGCGGACCGGTAACCAGCGACGGGAGCGGAGTAACAGTAGTGGAACAACCCAATGTCACGTGAGGAATCGTTGTTCTATAGAAACAGCAAGAATGCTTACAGACTCGTACCTTTACAGGTGTCCTGCCACACGTCAAACTCCAGGTTCCTGTATGCTTCTCCATCGAGAGACTTCATGACCTTGTAAGGTAGAGACAGTCTGGAAGGGGGCGGGGCTTCAGCAGGAGGCTGCCAACAGAAACAGATTCGCATTCAACCTTTCTGACAGCTCAAACTTAACGGATGCTGTGATTTGGGAGCATTTTACATACAAACAGCTGCTCAACGAAAAAGCACCACAGAAGATGTGCTGACAGTCCAATCACGTGTGAATGCGTTGGAATATTCCTTTCTTCTTAGGAAGGGTCCTCAGAGTGAAATGACCCCGAAGTGCTAAGGAAAGGAGCTTCAATGCTTCCTTACTTAGCTCCTTTAGCATAGGAACCACTGGACCATCCTTTACGTCCTCATGACGTCATCGTAGTCTGTCCATCAGGAGACGGATCCTCCGCTGACGTTCTCACTGAGGTTTCTTCCCTTTTCTCCCATGAAGGCGATGTGAGGGTTTGGTACAGACGATGCTGCATGCGTTCAGACTGTAACGCCCTCCGAGGCTAATTTGTGTGTGACTAGTGACGCATCATTGGTCCGTTCACTGAGAATACCGATGACGTACAAACGCAGATCATGTGACTAACTGGTTTGTGTTAATAACGTTTTCCTTTGAACCTGGTTGTTTGTGTGTCTGCACGACTCACACCAACAACACATGAAGCATCGGAGACGCTTCTTTGTAGCCGCTGCAGACGGACGTCCCCAACAAGCGTCTCCGTCCATCACAACTAGCAGCTCAGTGGAAGAGGAGTCCATTCACTAAACACCGCCTTGTCCTTTCCTAACTCCTCATCAACTCTCCTAACCACCTTTCCTTGACCCCATGATACATTCCACAGGTCAAGGAAAGGTAGTTAGGGGGGAATTTTTTGGACAATTCAAATCCAGCCTTAAAGTGAGGAAGGTTAGGGCCTCGTCATGGACACACACAGGTCATGTGATCAAACCCCTGATGTGGTCAAACAGGTCACCTTCTCCTCAGCGGTCACACTGTGCAGTTTATCGTCAGCAGCTCCACACGACTCCGCCTCCTCCCTGTAGAACAAACGCAACATCAAGTCCCTGCATGTCGGAGCACCATCGAAACACAGAAGAAAGGAAACCGACTCCGATAACACAGAATACGCTTTGTCTCAATCCATTGGGATTCGTCGACCGCGACTCGCCGTACAGTCGGCTCCTTAAGCGCGGACGAGGGACGCAGCCCTTTTGAAGGCACCTCTGATCCATCTTTTGCGGCATAGCATATCCCAGCATGCAGTGCGGGCCGACGAGGATTACGTTTATTCAGGACGGAGGGGTGAGGCAACAGGAGGGAAAGAGACTCACTCGAATATCTACTAATATAAATGTTAAAATAGAAGACATCACGTTAGTTTATGAAATCGCTTAAGTTACATGACGTTGGTAACCAATTTTGTGTTTTGAGTCTTAACAACTCAGTCATGCTTTTAATGAACAGAAAATGTTCAATCAGCCTGAAGTAGATCATGCTCTGCAGGAGAAGTATATCTTCCTAGATTAAATTAAATAGGATTAACTTCTCCATCAGTAAGTATCTAGACGTTTTGCATCAAAACTGCTTCAATGTCTTGCAGGATTTACGTTTTGCTCCAAGTTGTGTTATGACACCCTTGTGTGTGCGTGCGTACCTGTGACATCGGTCCTCAGGTGTCTCATAGCCAAAATCGACATCGCTACACACAGATGGGCTGTTTCTATAGCGCCGACCGCCGACCCTGAAGGCCTCCATGGCCTGACAGAGCTCCGCCTCCTCAAACCCAAACACCTGAGTGTAGAGCAGCTCATAGAAAAGAGCTGAACACACACACACACACATTAGAAACACGTGTACACACACACAGCAGGACGATCGGTTGAATGTTGTGATCCACCAATGAGGGAGGAGTACTCACACTGACAGACAGCAGCAGAGACGGGGTACGTCCTCGGGTAAACTATGTCATAGTGACCATTGATGGAGCAACACAGCGTCACCTGGGGATCAAAGTAACAATCACAACGCATATTTAACTAAAGCAATGTGACGTCACATCTAAATCATAAGATGTTTAACGAACATGTAGTTTAAATTAAGACTAAATTCACCACCTTGTCAACACAGTCTTCCTCCGAGATGACGGTGGCTGGTTTCCCCGGGTAACGGTAGATCAGGAAACAGCGTCTGCACAGAAAACAACGCGTGTGTACTACAGAGTGTACAACGTAGAGAGAGCTGATGGTCTGCAGTCCGCACCTGTACAGCTGAGACAGAGCCTTGATCTCCACCTGACCCACCGTCTCCTGAACACACACGCACGGTTACACGCCGCCACGCTGTGGACTGAAGGTCAAAGGTCACAACGACTCACCTTGGGGTCCTCCAGGCGTTCCAGATATTTCTCAAAGGATCCTTCAACAAACTGAGAGAAAACAGACATGACAGATAGTTATACTAAGTACAAGCCTGATAAACCAGTGATCTACTTAGTTACCGTCTGTTAACCGGTCAGCGTCATTCTTACCGGTTCAAAGTTGCATCTGTTGGCTCTCATGAAGTCAGCGCAGTCCTGACGGATCCTCTGATGGTAGTTCTGAGAGTAGTACAACTACACACACACACACACACACACACACACACACAATCTGTTACACGCACACTCCGCCCGCCCGCCCCCCACACACACACCGCCCCCCAACCACACGCTCACTCCGTCCACACACACTGTTACACGCACACTCCGTTCCACCCCCCCCCCCCCCCACACACACACACACACACAGTCCGCCCCCCCCTCCAACCACACACACACACGCTCACTCCGTCCACACACACACACACACACACCCCCACACGCTCACTTCGTCCACACACACACACACACCCCCACACGCTCACTTCGTCCACACACACACACTCCCCCCCCCCCCCCACACACACGCACGCACACGCACACACACACACACACACACACAGTCCGCCCCCCCCTCCAACCACACACACACACGCTCACTCCGTCCACACACACACACACACACACACACACCCCCACACGCTCACTTCGTCCACACACACACACTCCCCCCCCCCCCCCCCCCCCCCCACACACACCCCCCCACACACACGCACGCACACGCGCACACACACACACACACACACACACAGTCCGCCCCCCCCTCCAACCACACACACACGCTCACTCCGTCCACACACACGCACACACCCCCCCACACACACACACCCCCCCACACGCTCACTCCGTCCACACACACACCCCCACACGCTCACTTCGTCCACACACACACACACTCCCCCCCCACACACACCCCCCCACACACACGCACGCACACGCACACACACACACACACACACACACAGTCCGCCCCCCCCTCCAACCACACACACACGCTCACTCCGTCCACACACACACTCCCCCCCCCCACACACACACACAGTCCGCCCCCCCCTCCAACCACACACACACACGCTCACTCCGTCCACACACACACACACACACACACACACACGCACACACACACACACACACGCACACACACACACACACACACACGCACACACACGCACACACACGCACACACACACACACACACACACACTCTCTCTCTTTGACCCCCTCCTCCGGCCTCACCTGTTCCGACACGGCTCTGAACAGGCTGGATGCGTCTCGCGCCACCATCTTCCGGTAGAGGCTCAGGCTGCTCAGGTACTCGTCCATGTTGACGAAGTACTTTTTCAGGCCTTTCTGCATCCTCAACCGGTCACAGCACTCCCGGTAGCTACGGCGAAACTCGGTAAACTCGGTCCAGTCCTCCGGTTGAGGCGGCTCAGCACGAGCCGACAGGTGAGTTTAATCGGTTCTAATGAGCACGCGACACCGCTCACAGCTGCTGCAGCGTTCAGGGACCCCCACGCGCTCCGGGATATAGAGGTTCAAACCGTGTGACGTCAGCAAGTAAAGTATGAAGATACACGTGAAGTCTGCTCATCTTCACTGTGAAAATAGTATAAATCCTACAGCATTCTTGGCTAGAAACATGAGCTGCTGTTGTTTAACATGTCTCATAATGCACTGTATTTGTTTTGTTCGTGAAATCTAACTTCAGCTTTGTGTACGCATAAATCAGGAATCAGGATCAGGAATCAGGAAACATTTATTGCCATAATACGTCAGACATACAAGGAATTTGACTTGGCAGTTGGTGCGTAACAGCAGTACGACAAAGGACGACAAGACAACACTGCAAGAGGGAAAAAAATAATGCTATGGGTTAGTAACATAAGGCTATAAGGCTAAAAGTTAAAAAGTTAAAAATATTTCAAAATTAAAAAAATAAAGTGCACCGGCGAACAGCGAAGTTATATACGATGGGAAAGTACAGTTCAGGACAGACAACACACAAGTACAGGTCAAGTAAATGGAATTAACTTGATGTGATTATACAGGTGATTGCAAATACACAAGAGATGCTGAATGTGTTCATTGATAACATCCGTTCAGTGTGTCTTTGATTTATGAACCCTGATGTCCGCCGCAGGAGGAGGGCGGCGCAGTGTGATCAGCAGGGGGCGGTAGAGCCAACACTGGTATTAGACAGAAGAACACGTTCGACGAAGCAAGGCCTGGATGGCGCATGCGCATCGTAACACCCTGTTGTGCCGGGTTCGGGTCACGATGGTTCGGGCTTGGCCCGGTCGTGTTTGAGTGACTCGGCCATCGTCATGTTGGGTCTGGTGCTCCGGAGGACCAGCGGGCTTCCGGGCCTTCTCTCTGCCCGCTCAGCTCGCCCCTTTGGCAGCCCTCCTCCGCCAGAGATGTCCGCTGCCTTGGTCCGCAGCACCTTCCTGGACTTTTTCCAGGACAAACACCGACACCGGCTGGTTCCGTCCTCCCCGGTCCGGCCCAGAGGAGACCCCAGCCTGCTGTTCGTCAACGCCGGCATGAACCAGGTCAGTGGAGACCCGATCCCGGTGCGGTAAGCTAGCGACAAGCTACCTGCTGTCCGTTTGTGATTTCAAAATAAGAGCGCGTACTGTCTACAGTTAACGTTGAATAACTTTTATTTTGTAACGTGTTATACTGTTAGTACCTCCATTACTTCACAAAGTTTTACTTTACTGAGTGTTCCACATTCTCTGCTACTAAGCCTTCTCTGCTAGCCGATGCAGAATAACAGCTACAGTTATAGCCAGAGGTGTCAAAAGTCTTCACATTCATTACTCAAGTAGAAGTATAGATACTAAGGTTTAGTATCAACTCAAGCTTTTTAAGTAAAAGTATAAAAGTACTGGTTTTAATAATAATACTAATAATTGTATTTATATTGTACTTTTCAAAACACTCAGACGCTTTACATGTTTAGAATAAACATAATACAAAGACATTTTAAAACTACTTAAAGTATAAATGTGATGTAAAGGACAAACCCTTGATGTGTAACCTCACTCACAGAAGTAATGTCAGTCCATTACATGGTTTAGACATTGGGGGGGTCCAAATGAATACCCTTCCCCGAAAATTTTCCTTGTTAAGTTTATTGCCTACAATTCTATTTATCTATGAAAATTCACACATTTAGAACATAGGACTATATGACCATTTTAATAATGAAATTGGTGTAAGTGAATTAACAGTGATGCCCGTCCACCTTGTCTAGGTGGGTTCAGCATGTCCGTCTCTCCTTGTCTCTCTGTGCTGCCTGCATCGTACCCATAGGTCATTTTATCAGAACAACAGCGACTGACCTTTATCATCCATCATTTCATATTCTGCTTTTATGAGGCTACTCGTTTTATTTGCTTACACATTTAGCTCCATATCAACTTACTCACTGTCCTCCTCCTCTCAAACTAACGTTACTTTCTTTGCTCTCAACTGACTGGCGAAAAAGTGACAGGTAACCATGACAACGCAGAACGACGCAAGTTGGGTTCAAACGAAATCACACGATCATGTACAATTAGGAGGGGGGATTCACACACTTATGTTTTTCTTAACAAATGGAAATTAATTGAAAATAATGAAGACATAACGAGAGGCCGATCCATTGACAGGGTTCATAAAAGGAGAACATATATTTTCTGCTGTATATTGGGGGGGGGACACGACAAGAATGTGTGGTTACGCCCGTGGTCCGTTTCAATATGATCGAAGGTGCCTTCAGATCATGTGATCTGCCGTTCAGATGATGGAACAAGGCGATATTCTGGGAGGCAACGCCAAAACAACAGTGGGACAAATGTATCGACCCACATGCTGTATCATTTAAACAGGTAAACCCAGAACCCGTTTGCCAGTGACGGCTTAGTGACATGGGAGTGATTAGGTAGACTGCAGTGTCTCCCCAGGTTTACTACATGGGGGGAACTGGCTGCGGTCGGTTATCAAAACATTGGCCAAATAACTCGTTTTTTTTAATGTTCATTTCTAGAGCCTCGCACTAAGACACATTTTAGACGCTGCACTGATTCTCCATTAAGTTAGAAAAAACATTTACGGCAAACCCATGGTCATGAAGATACTCATTTAACGTTACATGGGATTTGCATGAGGAGGTAAATACCGCTAAATACCAACTGAGATCGGCTTGTGCCGTTCTGAAACTGATCCGACCACCGGAGGAACCGACCACCCAACCTGCCGTCCTGACAAAGGAACCTTCCACCGACCACTTTTCCCACCCGGCATCACATTTGTGTCATCTGCAGGTGCATAGCGGAGAAAACCAATAGGGTGTCTGAATGGTATATCTTTATACTTCTCAACCACAATCAAATTCACTCTATCCGGGTGGTGCCATTTATCTGGATAATGGAAACAAGCCAAAATGAAATCAGTGTAACGAGGCTATTTTTAAAATGTAAGTATGAAGGTCTCAATGTAGAAAGTACAGATATTTGCGTGAAAATGTAAGGAGTAGAAGTAAAAAGTTGTATGAAAAATAAATAGTCCAGTCAAGAATAGATACCCCAAATTTCTACTTAAGTAAGGTACGTAGTATTTGTTCTTGCGTGTACTACGTTACACCTCTAGTTATAGCTCTCTTATAATTGTTTTATAGATACACCCCATGTATTATAATAATTGTTCCCATTAGCTCATTTTCTCAGTGCACAGCTTCTGTCTTCCTCAGTGAAGTTGCTTCCAGCCTGCAGCGCTTCTTCCATTGTAGAATGGAAAAGTGCAAAAGTGAAGAAAGCTCAGTGAGAACGTCAGAGGAGGATCCCTCTATCACGGTGGACAGACCACAATGGATGTCATGTGTACAGCATGAACAATGTAAAATATGCACGATATGTTCAATTCATACATCCGATGTAACCACCATCAGATAGAACCACTGTCGGATAGAACAGTGGGCCTAACTAAGGGCTGGTCCAGGCTGACCTGAGCCAGCCCTTACTATAAGCGCTATCAAATAGGAAAGTCTTAAGCTTTATCTTGTTTGAGCGGACTGTGTCTGCCCCCCTAGACTGAAATTGGAAGCTGGTTCCACAAAAGAGGAGCTTGATAACTAAGTGCTCTGGCTCACATTCTTGGTCATTACCTTACTGTCAGCCTGGGTTGCTCTGCGATGAAAGTAAATGCGTCCGTTAGTAAGTACGAATCGCTAATTAGCATTAGCATTAGTTTTGGTCATCTCCCACGGAGGACCGCGCATGTGTGACGTCATTTTTTTATCGATGGCACGTGATCGACTGGTGCTGCCTTTGAGATCGACTGGTTGACCGCGATCGACGTATTGATCCAGGAACAACAAGTAAGCCAGCATCTATGGAGCGCAGCTCTCTAGTAGGGCAATACTGTGTTATAAGCTCTTTAGGATAAGACGGTGCCTCTAGTTCCAGTTTAAACTGGTCCCCCTCTGTGGTCTCTGGTTCCAGTTTAAACCGGTCCCCCTCTGGTCTCTGGTTCCAGTTTAAACCGGTCCCCCTCTGGTCTCTGTTTTCAGTTTAAACCGGTCCCACTCTGGTCTCTGGTTCCAGTTTAAGCCAGTCGTCCTCTGGTCTCTGGTTCCAGTTTAAACCGGTCCCCCTCTGGTCTCTGTTTTCAGTTTAAACCGGTCCCACTCTGGTCTCTGGTTCCAGTTTAAGCCAGTCGTCCTCTGGTCTCTGGTTCCAGTTTAAGCCAGTCGTCCTCTGGTCTCTGTTTTCAGTTTACACCGGTCCCCCTCTGGTCTCTGGTTCCAGTTTAAACCGGTCCCCCTCTGGTCTCTGGTTCCAGTTTAAACCGGTCCCCCTCTGGTCTCTGGTTCCAGTTTAAACCGGTCCCCCTCTGATTCCAGTTTAAACCGGTCCCCCTCTGGGCTCTGGTTCTAGTTTAAACCGGTCCCCCTCTGGTCTCTGATTACAGTTTAAACCGGTCCCACTGTGGTCTCTGGTTCCAGTTTAAGCCAGTCGTCCTCTGGTCTTTGGTTCCAGTTTAAACCGGTGCCCCTCTGGTCTCTAGTTACAGTACAAAGTGCTCTTCCTCTGGTCTCTGGTTGCAGTTCAAACCGGTCTTCCTGGGTACCGTTGACCCTCGCAGTGAGATGGCGTCGTACCAACGAGTCGTCAACACTCAGAAGTGCGTCCGAGCCGGCGGGAAACACAATGACTTGGAGGACGTTGGCCGGGACGTCTATCACCACACCTTCTTTGAGATGCTGGGGAGCTGGTCCTTTGGAGACTACTTCAAGGTGAAGGGGAGGAAGAACGGGAAGAGGGGGGAAGGAGGGAGGGAGGAGATGAGAGTGGGGAGGAGATGAAAGGGAGTACATGATAGTGGAGCTGCAGTGA